GCGATTTCGGTCGGATTCTATCATTTCCGCTGTCCTTTATGTAACAGAGAAAAAATAAAATTCCGGAACGAAATGAAACGATGCGGAATATGGATACCGATTCGGTACTAGCTAAATCTTACGCATTCGTATAAAGTGTTATCTGTAAATTACTTTTAAATTTTAAATATTGACAGCTAAGTACGTTAGGTTAGATCATCAGCACCCTCGTTTAAATGAACGTGGCAGGCAATTAGGCATTTGCAGATGTTTATTTGATCCTCTGTTCATACCATGATGGCCTCATCATTGCATTTCCTGATTCCGTTTATCTAACATCGTCTATACTGTCTGTTCTTTAGTCATTGAGTTGTGATGATTCGTTTAAAGGGTACAGTACACAATGAAAAGATTTCGTCACGCTATAGAATTGACTGAGACGGACGGTTACCTCCCAGCTACTGTGTTCGAATTTGCAGTTAGAATAGTCTTCTTTTAGACAGATTTGTAAAGAATACTCTCGTTACCTGATTACATTTATGTCTCTATGTCCGTATCACTGTTCATGAAAGGTCTTCGTACCTAAGTGGAATGTAATTAATCATCCTGGTGTGGAATCCATTACTTTGGTCGTTGCGTCGTTGCCAGCTATCGTGACGTGAACACTGATGCTGAATTTATGAAGATTATGTAGGTAATCAGCGCGTGATTTTCATTGGAATAATGCATTCTGAAGTTCGTGCTGATTCTGTGCTAATAAACTTGTTACTAACATTTTTTATATAAATTTAATGACTGCAGACACAAAACGGCTTTTAGAAATAGACTAGGGATCATACTTAACATGGACGTTATCATCAGAGCCACTTAAAGCAGAAAGTAAAATAGAGCACGATATATGCTGCTATTCGGTTGGGTCGACTACAGAAGCACTGAACATAATTTCGATTGTTTTCAACAACGCTGTGAACGTAAAGCTAAGCCTTGACACGTGATCAGACAACTTGGTTCTACAGCGTTGGAGTATCTCTGAGATTTAGGGCTGACACCTGGCTTACTCACTGCAGTCGTGTTTGGATGAAGTGATGTCAGGAACTGCCACTGGCTTTTCACATTGAAAGCCTTTAAGTTATCGTTATCCAGCTCTTACCGATGCATGCAGCAGCACCGGAGGAATATAAGCTCAGCTGATTCATATATTTGTGTAACTACAACGGGGGCTCGATATTAGACGCACGACATAGCGCTCGTGATCGAGACCACGGAACATATCGAGTTTGCGGTTTCCCGAAATAGCGAAATTGCACATCTCACATCACATTTTAACTTTCCTGCCCTTCACTTAAACATCGATGGCCGGACGCGTTTTTCACGTTTTGAGCCTCAGTCATAAGACCTGGCTTAGCCCATCTTATTCTATGCATTTTGAAGGATGACGAGAGGGATTCTAGAGAAAGAACTAGAAGTAAGACTCAGATCCGTTTAAGTGCATATGCCAGTCGATGCGTTCAAGCATTCTTTTGAAGGTTCGGCAGAAAAGCACGTCGTGGAGGTGTCATGCACTTCCAT